CCACGACTGCCCCCATCCATCCAGTGTCCACTTCCTGAGGCACCAGGCAGGCTTCAAATGTGTGGCCCTGGACAAGTGCTTTGACACAGAAGACCCGGGGATGGACTTCATGACCCCTGCAGGGTTGGTGAATCTAGACTGCATGACACCATATGACACCCCAACACGTTATTTTCTGGATATGGAACTGTGAGCTCAGGACCTGTTTGAACCTTGTGCTCTACGAAGTGGAGAATGCCATCAATATCATGGCACCAGATTGTTCTAGCTGGGGAATTCCATGCCGCGGAACAGCTGGTCGGACATATTTTAATTACCAAGGGAATACCCAGTACACGTTTGTGGACATTGGCAACCGCATGATAAGCAGGTCTTCTAGCTGCAAGTGTCCTTTTGTTTGGGCCTCCTTTCAACACCTACACACACCTCACTCACTTCCCTAAAGAGCCTGAGGCTGGTGATCGTATGCTGTGTGGTTTTGGCCAAGCGGTGCATATTCGTGATAGAGAATCCAGTTCATTCACTTCTTTTCCGGCACTACCGCTTTGAATACTTGTGCAATGCTGTGGCCACAGTCCCTTTGGCCGCCAATGATGTCGCAGTTCCACCGGTGCATCGGACCCCTTTACCTTGCCACCCCAGGTCTACAAGCAGCCCTTTTGGATGGGCTTGCTGGGAAGCAAGAGTCCAAAACGGACAATGGTCTGGAGCAACGATCGACTGATTGCAGAGATGGATTTGGGTAAACTATCCAAGTCCCACCCTTGTCGACAAAACCCGGAAGATAAAACGACACGCGCCTCATATTACATATATGTGATTGTCTGTTTTTCAGGACCTTTCAAGTTTATACTAGCCATGGGTTTGACCAAGGTACTTACACCAACAAAGAGGGCAAAAAGAAGTTTGTCGGAACAGACAAGCTCAAACAGTCACAGCGACTTTGTAGCACTAGTGTGCGCTAGATCATTTGCAATATATATAGTACTGATAATATCATGCCACTAATACTCAGGCAATACCCTCCTGGAGTTGGACATGCCCTGTTGAAGAGCTACCTCAAGTCGTGCAAGGGCCCTTTCCGGCGTGATCTTCGTAAGAAGTATGAGTTGGATGAAACTTTGACTGACCGCCAGCTCTTTGAGGTGTACCCACTGGTTGATGACCAATGGTTTGATGCCGGCCTTGCTGAAACCTTCTTTTACCTATACGGATGTAGTTCCCTTTGCATTCCAGACTCCTGGCAAAGCACCATGGAAACCTTCAAAAATCAACTTGTCTCTCTTGTGGCCCCTTGATCCGATATGTACATTTTTGCTTTATGCACTAGTTCGATTGGTGGTTGCTACACGTTACTACTGCAGCCCGGCCCTGCTTGCCTTGACGCCTCCATGCAGGAGACACAGAACCAGCCCGAAGACATGGAGGTTGTCTCGCCCAACCTTGTGATCGATGTGGATTGAGCGGGTGTTGGGGGATGGCACGCGCGGAAATTGATCCACGAAACGTCCGCAAAAACCCCACGAACGCGCGCAAATTTCCACAAACGTCCGCAAAAATAAAATCAGTACTTTTCAGAAGTCACCTTGACTAGTTTGTTGAGGGTTTTCTGCTGATATCTGGCGTTTCTTTGTCATTGGGCGTGGAGGGACTGGGTAAATTGAATGAATGGGTCATGAAGAGGAAGTCAAAGGTCCTCCATTGGGATCGGCTTAGTCTGTCACCTATGCATGACTCATTCCATGCATGTTCATGCGATATTGTATATGTTTTGGATCTTCAGCCAAACAAGCTATCAGTGTATTAAATAATGGCACTTCGCCAGTGGAGCTGCTCGTCAGTGGAGAACGGCATGGCCATGGCACAGTCACAATGCACTGGCACCCCTCAACCATCCGTGGATTTGGACCTTCTCATTCATGATTTTTGCCTGCAGTATTTTTGTAAGCACGCACCATGAACGCATGATATACCAATATGCCATGGGTAGTCTGTTTTGGAACCACCTCTCTGTGACGCAGCGATGTGCCTGAGGAAACTAAGCGCAAGATCCAGGAGATCACCGAAGGCCTTGCTCCATCCAGGCCTTTGAAGGATTTGGCGGCAGAGGGGGCAGTGCAACCAGGTCAGGGTATATAGACAAAACAATGTTTTATTGGGCCCTTGTTTATATATAAGCTGGTACGTTTTGTGCATCAACCATATTAGGACAACTGCAGCTGTCCGATCGAGATGGAGTCTTCTTGGCTGGGAGGAAGGTTGCTCCTATTCCCAAGGGTTTCCAGACGCCTCGATTGGAGAGCTTGGGTTCCAAGTCCGCGGTCTGTGAGGTCAAGCCCTTCCTTTGAATGGCCGCATGATGCTCAGGGTCCACATGGTGGCAAGTACACCCCATCACTATCGACAGTGCAGTTCACTCCACGTGAAGCTGAGGGTTCACAGGGTGGCGGCTTACCCCAGCCGATGGCTCGCGAGCTGTTCAAGGGAGATGAAAACAAGTCCAAGGAGAGTGCAACAGCTCCTACTGAACCCGACACCGACGAACCTCCTGCCAAGCGTGCAAAATCAGATGGCTACGACAAGTACTATCATAAGTTTCGTGACTATTATAGTATGGGTGTTGCTCTTACATGTTTCTTTCTCTCACCACCACTCCATCCCATCGCCCTCCTTGATGCTAAGGGTTTGGCGCTACGTCCAACCCAAGGGAAAGGCCAAGGAGGTCCTTGCATCGCCGGAGGTTCTGCAAATGTGGAAGACACCAGAGGGGAGCCACTTGTGTTGCTATATATCTTCTACTTAATCATCCATCCCTTTTTTAATGTGTGATTTGAATACAGCTAGTGACTACAGCTAAGGGGAGAAACTCAAGCAGCTCATTAAGACCCATGGCAACTTTGAGACCGTTGAGTGTGTAATCAAGAAATGGCAGAAGGTTACCATGCAGAAGAAAAAGGAGGGGCAATGGGTGACCCGACAGTACTTGCTCACACAACGTGGATGGACAAAGCAACTTAGTTTGAGCTTATTTTTGCAGCTATGTTCACATGCGCATCCGTGTACATGCTATATGGCTTTCGGGGTTCCAAATCACGCTAAGGGCGATGGTCGACCGAGCATGGCAATGGGCCAAACAGAGGAATCTGTGGAGGCAAAACACGATCCACGGTGAGGAAGAAATATGCATAGTATTGGACGACAGTTTTGCTTATAGCGATGAACAGGGGTTTGAATCGCAACAGCAAGGAGCCTTTGAGATGGAGGACCCTTCAGTTCAATTGTCGAGCAGTCTAGCCAAAGGTTATCTATAATTTTGGTGGTTTACAGGGCTGCCTGTGTAGGACCCCACGGGATCACTTCTTGACAGTGACATGGTGCCTGAATCCCATGCGCGTTTGTTGCCGGAGATTGACCAAACGGATGATCCCACCTATCAAACGGAGATGCTGAAGGGAAATTGTGCTTCTTTCAAGTTCCTATTTTGCATATATGTGCAATGATTCAGAATGATTCCATGCTTCCCTCTAGGCCTGTCCACATGCATGCCAGTGGGGCTAAGGCTTGTCTTTCCGGCCGTGCAAGAGAATGCCTCATCTCTTGCTGTGATCCCAACCTTTTTGGACACATTGGGTCAAAAGATCGACAAGGCTGAGCGTGAGAAGGACTTTGTCGCTTTATGTTCGTGGATTGTTTACGCATGCAGCGCTAGGGCAACAATATGTTTAGCTGTGGCAGGAAAAATTGAAGGGCTTTCCTCGAGCGCTTCAGCTTCTTGCATGCAAGAATCCATGTTTTTCATGCATGCACGAATGAAATACTAGTGACATCAATCAGTAGTTCCTCCACACCCAGGATGGCCAACCAGATCAGCTCAGTCCTCTCGGAGATGTCCGCCTTCTACGATGAGATGGCCGCCTTTCAAGCTGAAGCCATGGTCGGAAAGTGCCCGATGGTTTTCATATTTTCATTGATCCGTGCGTTGACCTGTTCCAAGCTGACAAATGCATGCGTTGGGAGACACATGGGTCACATATCTTCAATCTAGGTGTGACTTGAAAAGCCTGACCACAAAGACTGTGGAGATTACCAAGAAGGATGTTGTCCTGAACAACTTGCTGCAGCGTTCCAAGTCAATCTTGCATGCTTATCATGTTTGGGCCCAACTGTCGACCTTAGGGGGGCGGGAATGGGAATAAGGGTTAGCAGTTAGCACTCATGCCCGGAACCCGGCAAGCTTTTCCTTACTGGCCCTTTCTCCCAGCATATCCCCGCCAGGAATGTTCAAAAGCCTTCGGCAAAGGCAGCTGCTGTGAGACCCCCGCCAAAGTTGCCTCCTCCTGCGGCAAAGGCGAAAGCGCAGGGGAAGGCCAAAGCCAAAGGCAAGGCCAAAGCAAAAGCTCGCGCTGCCCGAGATTCGCAGGAGGAGTGATCGATATGCTTTAGCTTGAGATTTTCGAAATTCACTGTCAACTGATATGTTGACTGTCCGCTTGCTGTAAAGCTTCGTGGGGGAACACGTGGCTTGTACTCAGGAGTGGCCCTAAGAGGAAAACCCTTGTGCAAGAGTCCGCATTAAGTTTTTTTCACCCTTCTGCACTGGACACTTCCCATCTAATGCCATAGTAGAAACTTTACTAGTACTAGAGCTCCCACGCAGGTGCATTTCCTGGTGATGTGGACGCGAAGAAGAAAGACCAGCAAAGCTAGAACCTCAGCAATGCGGCGATGGTGTGAGTGAGTGGGTGATGTTTAGTATACATTGTAGCTGCAGGTAGAGATGCAGCAGAATCCGATTCTGATGGGACTACTTCGGATCTTGCTGCTGAATTAGTTCATGGGTTTGAGGATGGAGTCATTTGGAAGCAACATGAAGAGATCCTGAAAATGTTTAGAGTTCGAACTGAATTTCACTGAATATATATGTTGAAATCTCTGGGGTGTAGCGAAAGGCTGAATCTGCTCATCGAGTGGTACGGCTTGCGAGAGTGACAGCAAAGAGAATGCGCTCACTAGGAACCTTACGTCTTTGGAAATGTTGTTCTACACGTTTGCATCTTTTGGCCTTCGGGGGGGTCGGAAGTGTCTTGTTTGGCTTGAATGCATTTGAGGAGCATCTGATCCTCTATTAGATGAGATTGGCAGAGCTGGACCTACTTCCAAGAAGAAGTTCCGGAACGTGTCCCGGAACTTCCATGCCTGGATCAACCGTACTAAGAAGGTTTTGCCGGTGAAAGTGTCGACTGTGAAACTTCGCGTTCTAGAACGTCGACCGAGATTGAAACAAGTTGAGAAGAACTTCCCGATGATTGGTTTGAAGTCTTGGGCGGAGTACCTTCTGGAACACTCACCCAAGTTTTTGCTGGCAGGGCATAGCCTGGAGGACCATGGGTATGAAGAAACCTTCAGATTATTTTGGGAGCGCTATTTCAAGCTAGATGGCAACCATCCGGTGTACCAGAACTTCAACGAATCTTCGTGGGGGAGCCTTGTGCCATATTGCCTACATGGTGATGAGGGCCGTGGGAAGGCCAAGCGGCCTGTCCTCATCACCTCCTACCAAATGATCATCCCCCAGGAAGGATTGGGCGAGACCAACATGAAAGGGTACCTTAGCTAAGCAAATCGATTTGATATGATTGCAATAGTACCTACCACAAGCGTTTGGTTTCAAGTGTTTTGCTCTTAAGGCACTCCTTTACTACAAGACTATTGGCATCCATCATGCCCAGCCAGTTGATGACCTCGAAAGACGAAACTCTGGATGACATGAACAGGTTTATGGTAGATGATTTGAAAGACTGCTTCTACGAGGGTGTCCAGGCTAGATCCATAGTGCGTTTCTTTGACGCAATCACCAATGTTCCGCTTGGGCTCCCCGGCTCCAGGTCAAAGGACACACCATCCGATTCATCTACCTGGGCTGTAAAGGCGATTGGCCTTATTTGAGAAAGATTATGAATTTGGCCAGTGGGTTTCGTTCCAAGAGATTGTGCCACATGTGCGCGGAAACAGACACCTGACTATACTTTTCGTGCACACGCGTGGAAAACAAAAAAGCATCGATTGTTAAGTGCATGCTTTTAGTGGAAGGCCTCATGTTGGAATAAGTGCATCTCTTGCCTAGGATTGGTGGACATTCGGTGAGAAGAAGTCCTGCCTTCACAATTGGGACCCTGTCAATACTCCGTTACCGTGGAAAAGGAACAGGTCACTTTTGCTAAACCTTCCTGGCGCAGAGTGTCCTATGAGGACTCGAGTTGATCTAGCTCATACCTGGGCTATAGGGGCCGGAAAAGATTTTTGTGCAAGCGCCATCGTCGCTCTGTGCAGGCTCGGTGTTTTTGGCGCAGGCACCATGCCAGCTCGTCTTGACCGAGCCCATGACCATTTCACTGAATGGTGCTACTTTGCTAAGCAACATGTGCAGGTGAAAGATTTCACACTTCGTTCACTAAAGGTGACTTCGTTTCTTGGCAACAAGAGCTAGCTGTGATGGAAGCTATGCATGTGAGGTGTATGTGCATGTGAGGCCAGTGTTGTTGATCCATTGGGAATATCCTAGGTTGCAACAATACCCAGTGCTATCGGGAAAGGGGCATGACTGCATTGTGGTTCACAAGTGGCTTTCCTTTGTTTGCGGCCAATGCCAACCTGATTCATTGGAGTTCCAGTTGCATGTTAGCTTGCCGTGTTTCTTTGTCCAGGCCATGCAAATTCGATTCCACTCTCTTAGGACCAGAGTCATCGGGACTTTTTCGACGTGCTCAAATACACGGCCGACTGTGGAAACATATGGTTCAGGGAATTGTACAAGCATGGCATTTTCATTCCTTCGCATATTGGTGCAGGGGTGGCTCCAATGGCATGGGGGTTGACAGATGCTGGGACTAAGATAGTTCTAAAATTTAAATAGAGCTAGTACATGTGCTTGCTGCACTACTGCGCTGGTATAGTTTTTTTGCTATATTGTGTGCGTGAGGAGGGGTATGGATGCCTTGCCTCTATGTCCACGGATCGCCGGTGGGTCTTGTTCCGCGTCAAGCCTAAGCTGCACATGCATGAGCATGTTGCGCATCTTGGCACTTACACCGGGGGATATGCTCGGTACACACGCGTGCAAAATGTAGGATGCACAGGGAACAAGTGGTCCCAGCGATCCCTCTTTGAGGCATGAGTTTCATCGCCAATGCAATACATCCGCACATGCACTAAATCCCCTGTGTGTCTTGGCATCGAATTATGGTGCTTGGAAGTTCATTAGCTATGTAGTTCACTGTTCTAGCTGACTGCCCACACTCTACAAAATAAGGCTTTGCCGCATGGCAGGATGAGGACTATATTGGCCAAGTGGCCAGGATCACGAGGAAGACTCATGATTGGACCACAGTGCCCAGAAGTTTCACTCGAATTCTCATGAGGTACAAGAGGATGTTTAACTGCTAAATCTTGAGTGCAGCAAAAATGCGGTGAGATGCTGAGCGATGCTGAGCGCCTGGCACACTGATTGTGTCCAAGTTGATGTCGACAGTGATGTGCACGATGTTCATCATCTCCAACTAACCCTTTCGAACGTTTTTTTTAAGGTCGAGCGTTTTTTCCTATAGGTCGCACTTATTGGATCAAACGTTTGTAAATTTCTCGTAGCAGAAAAAAGGTTACAATTGAAGCCCCAGGTAGTCTTAAAACTGTTGACTTTTATAGTTAACTCTAACTACTTATTTGTTACTTTCATTTCGGTCAGTATCCAATATCTTCTGGTCCATTCATCCATCATTCTCATCCTCCTTCTTCCATTTTCCTAATCATCCCAATCAAAGAACAAATCTTGTCTTCCAATCTCTTTCATCTTTCCCAATCATGGTTCTCATGGTTCAAACTCTCATGACTCCACACCATCCCATGAACCATCACCCATCATCTGGTCCAGGTCATCATCAATGATCAGGTCATCATTTTCATTAATAAGGGGATGTGGTCTCCAATCCCTCCAATCCCAAACCTTGTTGACCTTGTTGACCTTGTTGACCTTGAAGGGGGGGTTGATTAATCCGGTGTCGACATTATTTTGGGCAGGTCGAAATTAGCAGGTAGGCGTTGTTTTTCGTGTTTTCTTCGTTTCAGTGTGTTTTTTTCCTCCTCCCTCTGAAATTCAAGTGATTGCTCCACCTCATATCAGCCCGGCCGCGACCCAAGGTGGACCAGTCGAAGGGCCGGTGGCCTGGCGGTGAAATTGGACGAGATACACCGTTTATTGATGTGCCCTGAATCTTCCAACGCCATATGTTTGCCAAACTTGGCTGGTTTTTACGGATGAAGTTCGGCGTGGTCAGGGGGAAGATCCAGGTGTGCAACGTACTATATAATTGGAGTGATTTCCAGGGACATGCAATACATGAGTTTCGTTGCGCCTGAACAGGTGAAACAGTGGCCGAACAAGAGCAACGACACAGTCGTCGTCCCTTCGAAGTCAGGTCGGTTTGTTGATTTCGGGGCTGTAGATCTTGGAGTCGCTCTCTTGAGGAGTCTGGTCCCCGTATGAAGTTGTTTCCCTTGAAGGGAGTTCGCATCCCTTGAAGAGGGAGTTAGTTAAACTCCTACATCTCTTGCAGGTCATTTCCATCGATATGTCCCATGTAGCAGTGCTAGCAAGAGGCCACCAGAAGTGCCACCAGATTGATGGACAAAACACATGAACCAAAACTAATTATCGATGTTTTTTCTCAGTTGAAGGCACATGTTCTACGCGTGCCATCCTATGTCCAAATCATTTCGGACATGGATGTGAGGGTGTCCATCAGTTTGACGGAGTCTCCCCATCAGGTGCATCGATCCAACGGTTCGCGACTGTCCGCGCTTGCGCTGGGCGCTTCTAGCGGCGTCGCTTATAGCGGCGTCGCTGCAGGTGTTGCCAGGGAGATGCAACGACACACAGCGACTGTTGGGATGAGTCCTACAGCTTTGAGGCAGTTCGGCGGTCGAGCTCGTGTCACGTGCACTGCGACGGGTGCATCATTTCGTTTTGTGCCGTGCGCAGTGCGCGACCTGCAAAGCGCCATGTGTTTCTTTTTTGCGAGGAGACTTGTGACATGCCGCTAGGTCAAAAGGTTGCAGTTCTGCCCTGGTGGGATGGTTGACCTGGGGTCAATGTACCCTAAATCTTCCATACCGATATCCATGGATCGAGGACCGAGCCAGACCAAGCCTTGGCCGAGCCGCCGTTGGCCAGGAGTGTTGCCCGAACGCGGACTGTTTCGACGGCGAAGTGTTCACCTATGAAGCGTGCCTGGAGCCTAGTTGATGCGAGGGAGGTTGAAACCACATATATAAGATCATACTCCAATCCCCCATATTGATTTATAAATATTAGGAGATGCTTTACCAGACCATATAATATATATATATATATATATGAATGTGGCGGGTTATGAATCAACACTTCTATATCCTAGGAGTGCAGTTCGACTATTGTTTTTGACTGAAGGTTTCAGGAAATTCCTGAAACCTCGGGTCAGGGGTACTTCTCTTTTCTCAGTGAAGGATTCTGGAACTTCCCGAAAGCAGGTCCCCAAGCTTACTCCTCCTCGTCAGTCAGACCGCAGATTTGGTCGAGTGAAGAGGACTCTCCGGGCCTGGAATAGGCGCACAGGAGCACAATGAAGGGGCACAAACAGGAGCACAGTTGTTTCCCGATCTCTCTTTATTTCCAGATCTAACTCCCAGAGAATCTGCTGAACGAGGCTCAAACCATTTCCCTATAGGCCTCCAGTCGTACCGAACCTGAGAAGGTGGGACTGGGTTGGGTGCCATTCTCGGGTCCAATCATACCGAACCTGAGGAGGTACGGCGGGTCGCTGCAGGGATTTCCAGCTATTTCCGGTTTGGATGGTAGAGTCCCACGTGTTGGCGCCCATGTGGATATGGGTGTTGTGGATATAGCAGGTCATGGCACCTGGAAGCTTGAAAAAACCTGGTAGGTTGACCATGTTTGGTGATCTATTCTCTTCATTTTGGGCGTGGGAAAAAAACCAGGATCCCCCAGTGTTTGACCCACAGATCATATTTGCATGCTTGTGACCACAGTGGTCACTCTCGCTGCGGACTGGGTCTCCATGGCAGTCCTCTCATCCATGACTGCCAGTTGGGTGATTCGACACCCCGAAGCCTGAGGGGGTGGAATGGGGTGGGCCCCTAGTAGCGTCCTTGCTCCTAGTAGCGGTCCTTTGTTCCTAGTAGCGTCCTTGCTCCTAGAATAGGAGATTCAGTAGCTGAACAAACATGGGAAATGACCCGAATCCTAAACAGCTTCACATACCAAAACCATATATGTTTGTTGCCTTTGGGAAAGCCCGTCTTTTGATGGGCCATGTCATGTGGGCTCCCTGGCATAGTTGCTTGTGTTGTCATGTTGCGAGTGTCGTCCATTGTGGTAAACCTTGTGGCATATCAACCTAAGAGCGATGGCCTCCAACCTAAAAGGCTTGCCAACTTGATCTCTCACACCTAGGTTGACAGGGCCTTTTAGGTTGATACTTGATAGGTTGATACTTGATCAGCCTCCAACTCAAAAGGCTCACACTCGATCTTTGCCCTTGATCTCTCACCCAGGCTGTGCGCAAGTCTATGGCCTTCGGGGGAACGAAGGCGCCATCCTTCGCCTAGCTTGCAGGGTGTGGGCGAGAATCAATGAACAGACTTGGAATTTCCAGTGAAGTCAGTCTTTCATTCTGTATTGAACATTGTTGAACATGTCCAGAGAATTGGTTTACATCTATAAGTGTGGCACCCAAACAAGTGTATTGAACAATATTGGATCCAAATGTATCAGTTGGGAAGAGCTATTGTCAAACACTGTGTAGCTGCTCATCGTTTTTGAAACATTCCGGAGCTGTCCGATCCGGCCGAGCACAGAGGCTGTTGGTCGGGCTACTACGACTACGAGCATTGCTGTTTGGCCAATCGAAGCTCCCAGAGTGGCTTAGCAAAGGAGTGGTCAATCCAGGGCAGAAGAATATGCAAGTTCAGCATGTTGTGAGAAGACATGGTCAGTTAAGAATTCTGCACCCGTCGGACCCATGGAAAAGGTATTTTTCTTTGGGTGGGTCCAGAACCCTGGCTATGGAGGTCGGGTCTGCAAGGATTCTCAGGGCAGTTACTTCTAGACTTTGACTTTGGCAAGCTCTCAATGAGGATCCTCGCGAGCTCAGTTACTTCTAGAGTCTACTCTCCCTGGAATTAATATGGAAGTGGATGGCACCACCTGTTTGGTTCGTGGATTTCATGGTCTTCCGAACTCGGGGCCATTCTCCACGTAACCATGGGGGCCGTTCCAGGAGTCTAAATGAAAGCACTAAGTGGAATCAAGTGACGAGAGCAGCTCTTTGGACTTCCATGACCGATTAGGACTTCCATGAATGACATCTTGGGACTCAACTCACCCTGTGGTAGGAAATCCATGACGGTGTGAGACCTATACTTCCAAACTTGGAAAGTACACCACGCTAAGAATCCGGACCCGAAGCAACACATAGGGTTTGGTTCGGGCCCGGACGGGTCCGACCCCTGCCATGGAGAGGTAGATTATAGACACCATTGGAAGTGAATGTGCGAAAGCATTTGGTGAACATGTCAGTTTGTTTTCCGGCCACGGTGGTTTCACAGTCATCGTCCACACTCATGGTGCGTCCTTTCCGCCATGTCATTCTGCAAAACGTTCGAAGAGGTGGAGATCCATAAGGTGTAACCCAGACACTCCATGTATGCCATATAATATGCCTACATTGGGGTGGTTTTGGGGGTCAATGTAGGCATATATGGCATACATGGAGTGTTTGGGTAAGGATGTTTAAGGTGGACCCCCGGGTGTTCCGGGTGTTCTTATGTGTTCGACCTAGTCGTGTACCCGGCTTTCTCAGTCCAGCAGCTGCTGCTCCAATTCCGCAAAGACCGGTTTGTCCCACCAAACATGAACCCGTGGGCTCCACGTACCTCCTCAGAATGTATTTGGACCCTCCTGGCACCCACCCCAGTCCCACCTTCTTAGGCGGTGCTTGGAGCCGTAGGGGAACAGAATAGATCACCAGACATGGTCAACCTACGAGGTGCCAGGACCTTGAGGCTCGCGACTTGACGCACGTCAAGTCGCTAGCGCATGTCCACCAAGTCGTCGAAGCCAAAACTGTCCCTCTCAACTCCCGGAAACCCTGTCCCAACCAGAAGCAGCTCCCCGTTTGGCCTCCAGTCGTACGGAACCTGAGGTACGGTGGGACTGGGGGCCCGGGTGCCAGGAGGGTCCAGTCATACCCTCTGAGGAGGTACGTGGAGGTGTAGAGAGATCCTTTAAAGAACATTTGGGGACCCAAGACTTGTTTCTGAAACAACCCCCTACCAGGACCTTCCAAGCGCGGTGCTTTTGGACACCCCGAATCACCTCTAAGACTAGGCTATGCATAGACACCTCAAACGGAAGGTCCTGAGGGGGCGTTTCTGGTGGTTTGGTACTGACTCCCAGACGCTTCATGGGACTGCCAGGGCGGACTGCCGATCAAGCCAGACCCCACTGGCCGGAACTCTCGGCAGTCCCAGACTGGTCGCGTCTGGGTCGCTTTCCGGCGCCGCCATCCACAGAGCACGTGGCTGCCATCCGTCCGAAGCGACCGGAGCATGACTTTCCATCCGACCACTTGTGATGTAAAGGATTCCCAGACACTCCATGTATGCCATATATGCCTACATTGACCCCCCAAACCACCCCAACTGATCGGCATATATGGCAGTCCCATGGAGTGTCTGGGATATGTAGAGGTTCTCTTTCGAAAGCGAGACCGGGTTGAAGGACCCGACTGTTCGACTAGTTCGGTACCCCAGATAATGACGGGTCCCTCGATCTGAACCGGTCACCTAACCTTTGGTATTCTCACAAGCAGAATCTGTTTCTGCTGACTGCGGAAACCGGATTTGACACCCCCCCAGACATCCGCAGGACCCGCGCCTTCGTAGCAGACCCGCGATGTTTCGACGGATTCGCGGCGGATGAAAACGGCGTGGTTCTCCGAGGATCTCCGGTTCTTGTTCCAACAAATACGCAGCGATTTGGGTGTTTGATTCGATGATATACCATTCCCAGACACTCCATGTATGCCATATATGCTTACATTGACCCCCAAAACCACCCCAACTGATCGGCAGTCCTATGGCAGTCCCATGGAGCGATATACCATTGTCGATTCCAGTCTCAAGACGATGACGTGACTCCCAGCAAGTTGGCTTTGCGCAGTTTGCTTTAGGTCGAACTGGGAGGTCACCCACCATGCAACTACCTTACACATCCTACCTGGTGAGACTTGCAGGTTGGGTTGACATCCTCTTGCGGGAGATCGATACGGAGAATTGCAGCACCTCTTTTTTTGTCCTTTTCCGCGGGGCGCGTGAAGTGGACAACTGGCCCAGTCCTATACCTCGGGTTTGCGGACTCACAAAGTGTGGCTTCGTGGACTCTAAAATGTAGCATATATCTATCCTCAGGATCGCTCAGGATGCTCCTGAATCAGTTGGAGAACATGCGAGAAGTGGAGCATTCAAAAGCACTTCACCAGAGAGAAAGTGATCACCAGCCACCTGGTGGCGCGGCCACCAACATCTAAGGTCGCGAAGACGTGCGCATGATGATGGATTTATTCATCATACTGAGTCAGTGGATCACCTGCATCGTCGAAAGTTCGGTTAACCTATATCCCTACACCTCCAGTCGTACCTCGTCAAAGGGTATGACTGGACCCTCCTGGCACCCGGGCCCCAGCCCCACCGTACCTCAGGTTCGGTACGACTGGAGGCCCAAACGGGTATGTTAACCTATTTTCCAGGGAAGACTTTATCGGAGTCAGGAAAAATGGACACCCTAAGGATCCGCACCCTCAAAAACAAGGGTTTGGTTCGGGGCCCCAAACTCTTGTTATAGAGGGTTCAACTCCTTCTAAGGAGGGTCCGGACTCGGATCCTTAGGGCAGAAACAAGAAGCAGGTGAAGCCAACTCAGCCAGCAAACTCTTTGATGTTGCGACTGCTGTTCTCCTCGGTGGGTTATGGGCGACCGGACGCAACTCCACCGGGGTCCACGGGGTCCATGCTATCCCTACATCGCCGGGCCGGGGGCGGGGGCATGTGGATAGCTTCTTCGGAGCTTGGGTCCTCCTGGAGTGGACCTGAACATGAAAACAGGAACCAGCAGTTCAAAGTTGGAGGTGCCTAATTTCCAGGATACCATTTCAACAACTGCTGGAAGAAGCAGCTCGAAGAAGCAGTGCTGAGGTGCTTTGAGCCCTTGAGCCCTTGGGTCATTGGAGGAAAGTGCTAACATGTGCTAACCACTAGGCTGAAGGAGCTTCTTTAGTGATAAGAAATTTGGTGAGTGCCCCAAGAATCCTTGGGCCCTCCGTGGCAGCGTCGAATTCTCAGGGTAGAAAAAGAGTGATGAGAAGTTCGCAGGACCAGTTTTATGGCATGGACGAATTCTATACAGATGCGCAGCCATGCCCTCAGTGGAAATTGGGGATGCTGCGGGACTATTTCGAGTCGGATTGGTTGGACCTTAAATGAGACGGCATCCAACCTACCCCAGACACTCCATGTATGCCATATATGCTTACATTGACCCCCAAAACCACCCCAATGTAGGCATATATGGCATACATGGAGCGTTTGGGAATTAGAGAATTTAGCATGTTGAATAAGTTTGGGTTTTCATTTAGCAGGGTTCCTTGCGAAAAGAATCTGATGTTAAAGAAGGACCTTTGTTCCAGAAACGTTTTGTTTGGGAGACGCACCTTTGCCCGGTTCAAAAAGTTAAGCCTTTCTGCCATGCGCACGTGTATCCACTCACACCTTGGGGGAAATGAAAACGACTTTGGGAAGCGTGCATGCTTTTGACATCGGCCTTTATGAACCCTATAAGGGTCCAGGACCATCCGAATCGGATGTCCTTTGACCCCCCGTTCGACCATTCTCTGGAAGTACGTACTCACCTCCAAGACCATCCGAAAAGGAGGTACCTGGACCCTATGGGGAATTGACGCTTTCCAAGTCACCTGACTCGATCGAAGCAGCCAACTCGCTGGGTTTCACCGAGCCGAAGCACAGGAAGCATCAGGAAGCACTCGAAGAAGACGAAGCACTCCTGGGTAAAGCCCACATCCCACCCAGAAGCAGTTCTGGTTCTCCCGGCTTTCTTCGTTTCGATGCAAGCACACAGATGGTTGGGAATGAAGAGTTGCATTGCAGGGACTTGTATCTGGTTGCCTGGTTTGGCGGATCAGGGGTATATATCCCAGACGCGACCCATGGGACTGCCATATATGCCGATCAGTTGGGGTGGTGCCAGGGGGGTCGATGTAGGCATATATGGCAGTCCCATGGAGTGTCTGGGTATGTTTTTTTTTCCCCGAACTGTTTAAATCCCTTCATGAGAAACCATTGTCCAGGTTCCTGAGAAGTCTCATGTTCCTGACCAACTAAGGAGTGAAAGCGAACGCACAAAACATGTCACCAGGTGTCAACCAATGAACCCGATTTTTGTCCGGTCGACCTTAACCAGTAAAACCACGTAAAACCATGGTGTTCTTTGGGATGACCGGGATGACCCACCAATGAAATCCATGGTGGGCCACGAGTTCATCCTTGCAAAGTCCACCCTGCAAGTCGGCGGCAACCTTCCCCGCTATCGGTTTGGGTGGTGGCTTGCCTTGCTTGCCGCTGTCCGGGCATACTACAGGGTGGCTGATTTCGAAGATCTCCCCTTAATCTCCCATGTCATGTCCTTTCAATAACCCAAACACAGCATGTCATGAAACCACCCCAAAGAGAGCGTTTTTTAGAGCGTGCGCACAGCCCATCCGGTCCGCGGCTTGGAGGTATGGCAATGACTTCGGCTACTACTCCACGGGCCGTGTGTTGGGGAAGAGCGACGGCAAGAGCGCTCAGGATGAAAAGGGGAGAGGAGAGGAGAGATGACGAGAGGGAGAAGAAGGTTGCCCCACACTTAGGGTTTCGGAGTGGGTTTAGGGAACATTTGCAGGACAATCCATTCTATGTTTCATCCGCCAAAACCATGTTGGGGGTTGAACACCCATATGGATTTTCCGGAATGATGTTCCCTTAAACCAATTCTGGATATCTGTGAAGCCGAGAGTTGGGCCGGATGAGGAGGGTCATGCCCCTTGGCGCACACGCAATAAGACGGCTGGTTTGATGGATGAACAGGTGTGAAAAGACAAGTTTTTTCTGCATACCTGGAACTTGCAAGGGGTGTCCAATGGACTACCCCACACTACCTAAGGGCTTCCAGACTGGGCACCCGACAGGAGGGTGCTGGTAGATTGTCATAGTCGGAAGATCCAGGTCATATCAGATGCCGAAATGACTCAAAATGACTGACGTCCTGACTTGCGTGGCCAGGAATTCGCTCATTACACGACCTACCCGATGGCGCTCTCCCCACATTTTGGTCGAGTGCTTTGTCGAGTGGCCTGAATCCCAGCAGCCGGCACAAAGTCTGACAGTCCGGCGGTGAATACGCAGAACATCGAGATCAAACCATAGAAGATCGACATCCGAATCATAAGGAATCTGTTCATAAGGTCAACCAGGGTTACTGGCTTTTGATCCACACTCAAGTGACCTGTTTTGCTTTGTGTTCCAAGGATTCCGTCCGAAACAGCTCTCGATGTTCGTCCGAATTCCATCTCGAGCGTGGGTCACAAGGAGTGAACAGTGTCAGGAGTGGATGGGACGAAGCAAACCACCCAACTCCATGCGACTTCTGGCTCAGTGAGTTTATTCTTGAAGCTGGACTAAACAAGTCACCAGTAGGTAGAGAAGTTCGCCGAACGAATTACTGTAGAGCGTGGTCCCGAAGCAGTCGTGCCCCTGATGTGACCAGGTCACATCCACGAAACTGGGACCAAACCATTCCGAGCGGAACCAATTACCGCAGTAGGTGTAGCCAGTGCTACCAAAGACTAGACCCGTAGACGGAACGAAACCCTGGTTATATATATATATAGTGGCAACTAGGATACACCTGGGATTGTGTTTTGGAACTGCCCAGAGGCATTTGGGAAGCTTGTGTGGTTTCTTTTGGACTCGAGTGAGCTCTTTTCAGGGGCCTTGGTGCATGTTCCAACAATTTCCAACATATGTGTTATTTTTCCCCACCTGTCAGGTGAGGGTTTTTGGATTCTATGTCAGCTGCCTTGCTCCTTCTTCTCCTCCTCCGCCACTCCTCTCCTCCTCACCTCCTCAACCGCGAGTGTCGGATGGCAGTGTTCCCCGCCGGACCTCAGCCGCCAGCTCCGATCGGCAGTGTTCCCCGTTTGACCTCAACCGCGAGTCAGAAGATATGCAAGATACGCCAGCCAGATAGATCGCCAGAAAGAATGTCAGGAGATATGCCAGGAAGAATGTCAGAAGATATGCCAGAATGAATGTCGTATAGACATGCCAGATAGAATGTCAAAGTGAATGTTAGAAGAGATGCCAGAAAAAAATCAGAAAGAATGTCAGAAGATATGCCAGCAAGAATGTCAGAAGATACGCCAGCAAGAATGTCAGAAGATACGCCAGAGAGAGTGTCAGAAGATATTCCAGAAAGATCCAGAAAGAATGTCAGAAGATATGCCAGAAACGTGTCATGAAGATCGTCAGCAGATATGCCAGAAAGAATGCCGAAATAGTGTTTCAATACATGTGAGGAATTTTGAATTGTCAGATTGACATGTCATGGTGGGGCTCACTCGAAGTCAAGTAGTTTGTGTCTGTTTACGGCGTGAGCAGCGAGTGCAACTGTGTCAGCTCACGTAACCTCTAGTCCCCCGCGTATTAACATGGAACTCAAAACCCGCAACTCCAGAGTGGAACGACCAGTCCCATGCGTCGACCAATGAAACTGGGGCTTTTTCGAATTCAATGTAGACTCTTCGATTCCTGAGGACTTGGCTCAGTTTGGCCATCCAAATTACTGTGACTTTGGTTGTTTGAGCTCGCTTCACCTTGACGTCAGGTCTTCATCATGTGGCTTCAGATGAACGAGAAGGCACCCTTCCGTGTGGTCGAAATTGGCGCAGGCCAGGACCGGTGGCTCCACCGTGACGACGGGACCGGGGGACCGCTGGCCGAAGGCGCCGCAGCGCAGGGCTGCGGGTCGCGGTGAAAAACGAGTTCGTGGTCGCAGGGGCGCTGTGTGCAAAAGCGGTTACACCCTTGTTTTTGGGGAGTGCAAGGCTAATTATAGAATGTGATTGGATGAATTTAGGATAACATGGTCGTTTGGACTTTGGTACCAGTCAGGCTTCTGGAGCGACTGGGTGTGCAGATTTTGGAAAGTCCTTTGTATAATAGGACAGTGCACAAAGTATTGAATTCCGATGGATTGCAGCCAGGGTGACAGGCTAGTGACATTTCCACATTGTTTCCGTCTTATATGGTCGACATTTACGTCTGAGGTCGATGGCAAAACTCGGTCAGACCCCCAGAAACAGGGCTGAAACAGGGAAAATCGATGACATGTTTCACTCTTTCTTAAGAAGTTCCGCAGGTTGAACGATAGATTTTTTTCCACTATGGAACCGAAGACCTGGCAACCTGGGCCACCTCCTCCTGTTAACTATTAAGCTGTAAGCCATATTGAAGCCGGTTGCTTGGATGCACCGCACTACTGGGGCTTTGAAGAGGCCTATCGACCTCTGGCCTGGGCTGGGCCCTGGGTTGGGCTTTGGACAGGAAGTGGCCAGCTGGCGCATGACATCCAAGAATGTGTGAAGCGGAACGAATTGGGCATCGACCCGCCCGTGTGGAGGCGGCGTTTCTTTCTTTTCGAACCCGCGGTTTCGATCCGCGTGTTCTTTGGGTCGAAGACACCAGAGGTTCGTTCTCCCGGCAAAGTCCACCAACCGAAGACCCAATCAACTTCAATCACCCTATTATTATGAGGCTTTTAGACTATAGCTACCTAACCAGGTCAGCCGATCGGACGCTGTGATGACATAATTAGTGGCGAGGCTTTTGGTGCGTGTTCTACTTGCGAGGGCTCTGGTTCAATAGAGTTTTTGGTGGAGGATTGCCATGCGCTAGATAAGGAACGCGAGGTCCAAGAGATGTCATGAGTTTCCAGACATGTCATGAGCCTCCAGCTTGACATGTCATGTTTGTCGCCGTGAAGGCTCGTGTCACTGTTTGACAGTCCACGTTGGGATTCTGAAGATCTCTTTGTGCCAGAAAAAAATCTGCCGAACTCAGCTGGTTCGAAGCTGGATGACGTGCATGCAGACCTTCTACTGCTCAATCTTCCTCCATGGTACCCAGACTCCAATGCGACTCGAATTCTGAAACCCCCTACAGAGGAGCCCAGAGCGGGCTCCACCTTGCTTCTTTTCCGCCCGGGCGGGCAGACAAAGATCATGCCAGTCCAGCCTCCAACCTGATAGCGATGGCCTCCAACCTAAGTGTTATGGGGTATTTATAAAATATCACATATATTAGATCCAGTTGTACTTTCTCAGAAGGTACGACTGGACTCCTGGTACGACTGGATCTGGTATTGCATCATCGAAGACTTTTCCAAAAAGGTCATCGTCGAACTGGACTTCCAGGGCACAACCATCCATAAGACATCATAATTATGCCATATATTAATGACTAAGGTTGGAAGAATTACCAGCCCCTGAGCTTCCATGGACTCCTGAACAATCCCAAAAAACAAGACCCTAGGGATCCAAGTACCTTCTCAGGTACGGTGATTGGAGACTATTTATGTAGGCTTGGAGGGCCCAGTCGTACCTTCTGAGAAGGTATGTGGATCCCTAGGGAGAGTTACAGTGGTTTCGGAGGTTCGATGGCACCCCTGCCCCTCCAAGATGTCCTATGTCGACAGATGGGCGTCCACTACTCAACCACCTTTCCTGGGGGGGCCAGAGGAGCCGTCTTGGAACCGGAGGCCATCGCGCGAACTGGGAGAGCACATCTATACAGGTCTCGATGATTTGGGATGGAGTCTTTGTCGCTTCGTCCCTCGAACAAATGGGTACAGATCTATACCTCGTACTGGGGCACTCGGGTCAGTCTGACCCATGGTTCTAAAGTACTGGGGCACTCGGCTCCGGGTGGATGGGACCCCGCCCCGGGATGCCGAATTCGAGTTGAATCTGCTTTCCTCGCCTCAGGCGTTTCCTCGGTGCTTTCGAGTATGTCATCGTCGAGAGGCGGGGCCCGGGAGCGCCTTCACTTCGTACTTCACGCCCACTTTTGAACGTAGCATGAGTTAGGAACTGTCGTGATGTCTGCAGGGGTTGTGCCCATTGTGGCCCCAATCTACGCCGATGTTGCATTCGACAAAATTGCATCATTCCTGCTCTGCGGTGAAGATGAGAAGAGATTTGACAAAGTTTCTCAGGAATATCCTTTGCGGTATTCTTGGGCTGATTTATGCGAGGCAAGGAAACAGCGTTCTGGAGTCAAAAAGCCAAAGGAATTCTTGCGTTGGGACAAAATTCTAGAATTACGTGATGTGGATGCTAATGAAAAGGTATCAGTCTGGAAGCGATCAGTGGATGCAACCGCTGCAGTAGCACAGTTGCGGCAGATTCCCTAGAGTGAAGAGTATCTTGATTCCGCTTCCTATTTGAGGAGTGAGGTGAGGACCAGATTTGTAACCGAAGGAGAACTCATCACCCAGACTATCAACTCACTGATAGACAACAAAGATATATTCCTGTTTGGCCCTCATGCAGGTTTCATGTTGGCTTCAAGAGCCGCCGCATTGAATCCTAAGAGGATCCATAGGCATCCTATGGAAAAACGTGCTTTGACAGAAGCTCTCACTCAACTATTGAAAGTCGCAGGGGTTTCAGTCAATGATTCCAAGACACAATCGACCAACGATATTCGCATGTGGGTGGATCGTCATTATGAGCCGCTTGTGGTCTTGAGCCACACCCAAGCCACAGCCGCCAAAATGCATGAGAACGACCCAGCATTTTTGAGGCGCTCACTTTTCCTTCCTTCAGTTTTTGGACCATTTGGCAAGAATTCCCTTGCAGCATCTGTCAAGAGTATGTCAAAGTCAGCTGAAAAGGAACAGAAGCTATTCTCTCAGATTCGCAAGTCGAATTGGGACCATCTTTTCGAGTTGGAAGACGATGAGTTGCGAGACCTGTTTGGGGCCACTCGAGCTTTTGCAGTGAATGGTCTGTTGATGCTGGAATTCGAGTGTCCTATGACAGAAATGGACTATGATGGAAGAACGACCAATTGATGACTTGGAGCGAGGGGAGCGCAACAAGACATTCTTTACTGAGAAACCTTCGTGCAACTTCTTGGCAGTCGTGTCGTATGAGCAGCATGTTGAAGTGATGAACACGACAGCTGGACTTGTCACTTTGAAGGGAAGAATGGCAGAGATCAATGCTCAGGGCAGTCTTGGGTTTCATTTTGAGACTTTGAGTGGCATGCTCAATTGCATCCAAAAACATGCATCAATTGGGACGGAGTTCGAGAATATAGCCAGCTGCTTCAAATCTCTGTACGTGGCGACCTTCATTTCAAGGCACTGGGGGCTCGAGCGTATAAAGCCCTGTTGAAAGAGTAGCGCCCCAAACGGGGAAATGAACCAAGATCCACCAGATGTGGACATGGAGGAATCAAAACAGACAGCATGAAGACAAAACACCGACTCCCGACATCACAGGGAAGACAACCAAGATTAAAGAAAGAAGAAGCTATAGAAGAGGCAATCCCCAGAAAGGAACTGTTTCCCACAGGGGCAAGGCCGTCCTATGTGACCTTCTACAGCAAAGAGCACAGAAATGGCAAAGAACCCAGATGGAAGAAGCAAATGGCATCTATAGAGGAAAGAACTATGCAAGCAGAGACACCGCACACAACCAAGAAACACACAACAAGTCCAGCTGCAGCCGAAGAGATCAGCAAGCACTTGGAACATCAAATCACCCAGGCCAAACACACCATGGACTGAATGCAGCAATCCATGGCCAACACGGAACAACCACCATACATCCAAGAGATGCAACAGCAGATGATGGCTCTACAACAAAGCGTATATACAGGAATTGGAGAAGCAAGCCAAAGACACCAGGCACAACATACAAGATGTAGACATACTGACGCAGCACGTGCATGATACACTCCTCACGCAGCAAAAGAAAGAAGCTGCTAAGCAAACCGTGGCAAAGGGTTGGCCAAAGGATTTACGGATGCAGAGCGAGAGGATGTCATCAATTGGTATGCAGAAAAAGCGGGAGTGGCAAACCAACTTACTACCACGCATGGACGCTACATGTACGGAAGGTACAAGCCCTCCCCAATCACCATCATGCACTGGGAAAACGAGTTGGCAAAGCACACCTTCGAGAAGTACATCTACAACAGATACAACAAGCACACCCCCATCACCATTTGGGACAAAAACAACAAAACCGTCTGCTTTGGAAGCCAGCCCCACCGAATCAACTTCGTGACAGCTGAAGGGCTTGACGTTCTTCTGTTGACTGAGACTCAGGTGAATAGCTCCTCTGTTGAAACACATGATGGCTACTTTTTCTGTTTTAGTAGTGATACCCTACCAGGTAATTCAGAAAGAGAACACGCTGGAGTTGGAAGCGTAGTCCATACGAGGTTCAAACCTTATCTGTATGAAGTAAAGCAAACTAGTGGAAGAGTGATGGCAATCCTTCTTAGATCCATGGGGATGTGTTGCTATGCACCACATGGTGGACATGGAATAGAAGTGAAAGAGGCCTTTTACGATTCGGTTCAGGAGCTTTTGACTGAATGCCCCGAAGCTGTGTACATCGGTGGAGACTTCAACGCTAGATTGCAATACAAACATGAAAATGAGTCTGAGGTTCTAGGACCCCAGATTTTCGGCGGAGGGAGAGATTGAGCCGAGATCTCTTTATGGACTTCTGCACCGCTAACTCATTGCGGGAATGCACAGATTTCCAGAAGCCAGCAGAAAAGCAAGCTACATTCAGGGAAAATACCACCCCACTGGGGTGCACCCAATACACTGCTGAAAACTACGCGCAGTTAGACTTCTTTTTGACTAGGCAGAAACACCGAAATCATTGTACAGATGTACGAAGTCACGCGGATCTGTATCTGCCCACAGACCATTTTCTTGTTGAAATGCAAATTAGAATGCGACTTGCTGCTATCTCAGAAACCTGGAGTTCTATTCTAAAGGTTTTGAAACCTACCCGCAGACAATGGCAACAATATAATGAGTCTGTGACTGCCTTGTACTTGTCACCGTGCGAAGCGAACAACCATGGCAAAGTCTGAACAATGCCATTTCCACCGCCGCTGCTCAGTGCCTATCTAGACAGTGACTCCATGGGAAACGGGACTATCTTTCACGTAGCACCTGGCATCTTACTCAGCTTAGGCCAGGGAAACCACACAGAGGTTGAACGTTTGAACAGGCAGATTAAGTATAGGCACATATTTAGAAGAGAAGCGTGGACCAATGACTATGGCCAGGGCCCTTTGCCGTCGCAGAGCCCCATTGGCTTGAACATCCATTGTGATTCGTCGCCATCCACTTGTCATGAACTTAATGAAGTTTTAAAAAAGTCGAAAGTGGGAAAGCAACCAGGCCCTGACCAGATTGTCATGAAACTATACAAGTGGCTTGACAGCGAAAATAGGCAGCGCCTTCTCAATATTTTCAACAGTTGGTGGGCCACTGGAAACATTCCTGCTGAACTCCTGTGACAGCAAGGGTAGTACCGATTTACAAAAAAGGTGATATAGATGACCCGTCGAACTACCGACCCATCTCTTTGCTAAATTCTACTTACAAGATTTTTGTTTCTTTAGTTCGGACCCGGATCCAGAAAGCAGTAGACTCAAAGCTCTCGGAGACACAGTTTGGTTTCCCACCTAATAGGTCAACGTCCCACGCCAAGACTAG